GCGTGGATTTTGACGCATTAAGTTTCCCGATTATTCAAAAAATTCAGAAACCCTGTTTTTCGGCCCGAAAGGTGTTACTGGATCAGAACGACATCGCTAAGATTTCTAGCTCTTTGATAGTTCAGCTAGCTTTCTTAAAATATTTCTGTATTTTCCAAAATCTTCCCTACAACTCGAAAATTACTGAAACTCCCCGAGGACTGCTAAAAAGTGACCGTATCATCGCGGATTCTGAGCGATTCACAGCACTTTTTGACCTGGTCGCTCTTGCAGTGCTTTTTGAAAATCAGCTGGGATTGGAAGGGGAGACTGACGATCAGAAAATTTCTAAGTTCAAAATATTTTCGGCTGTTTTTGAAGTTCATTTGCTGGATTTTTGGATCTCGGAATCAGTCTGTGGCTGTGGTTTGATGCGGTAGGTCTGGTTTTTACAAAAATTGGAGATTTGAAAGGTATAAAGGCCTTATTAACGCAGGAATGCTGGTATTTGACCACACTTTACAGCTCTCTCTCGCTCTCTCTCTCTCTCTCTCTCTCCCCGCTCTCTCTCTCTCTCTCTCTCTCGTTTACTCTCTCTCTCTCGCTTTATCTTTCTTTGATTCTGCGGCACTTTTCAATATCTTTTATGACCTAATTAATTAGTTTTGTGAGATTCCCAAGGCAAATAACTTAAAAAATTCAGCGACCGACTCAAACATCACTCCACGTTATTTCGTTTGACTGCCACTTGAGGCCAACGTCCTCGTCGTTGGTCACCGGGCCCAAAAACCCAATTAAGCCGCCCAGAAGCCGGAATTCGATGAATGTTCTTGACAAAACAGACGGGGATGAATGGGTAGAGCACAGCACAAACATCGCCTTAATCAGAAAACGTCCTTTTAGATGACGCTAAACTTGAAGTTTTAGACATCTTCCACCTAATTTTTTACGTTGTTAAAGTTTGAAGGGGCAGGGAGGCCGAAACCGTGCTCTTAGTATCCTTACAAAATTTGCGCGGGCTGGCGTTTTCGGCTCTTGCCCAGGGCCTTTCTGTATTTATTTTGCATTGCGTAAGCGGTTGCTGTTTACCAATGCTACACGAACAATGATTAACTGAATCGCTAAACATCCAGCGAAGCGTTTTTATAGGGATGCGATTTCTGTGTTCTGGCTATAGCGATCGTACTTTTGCCATGTCATCAGTTATCTACCGTATCTATCCCTGATGAGCCATCAGATTTTTTTGCCCGTGTTTATTGACTGCTTAGTTAGAGCGGTATTTGCGCAATCGCTGAGCCCGAATTCTCGGCCCCGAATTCCCTACAGGGAATCCGGGACGAGAAAGCAATCACGACAGACCTTAAGAGATGGTACCTTTCAGAAATAGGGCTGAATACGCTAATTTGCACGAAGATTGATGTACTTTAGACTATTCTGAAAGTACATCGGCTTTGGAAAACGGATCTTCAATAATATGACTTTGTAACGCTACATAATTATTTGGACGAATTTTTGTGAATTCGAAGCCTCATGTTGATCTTCTGCTTTATGAGGGCTTGGCCATGACGTGATTGGAAATTGGCAGCAGACGGACCTGCTTAAGCATAGCTTAGCAGCTTAGTTAAGTTTAGCTTAGGGGCATTTTTTTAACCCATCGAATCACATCTGCCCGAATTGCATCCCATCGAATTGCATCCCATCGAATTACATCCCATCGAAATTACGACTCATCGAATTACGACTCATCGAAATTACGACTCATCGAATTACGACTCATCGAAATTACGACTCATCGAAATTACGACTCATCGAAATTACGACTCATCGAAATTATGACTCATCGAAATTACGACTCATCGAAATTACAACTCCTCGAAATATCGGTTTTTGTCAACCAAATTTTTTTCGGTCCAAGCCTAAATTTTTTTATGCATGGCGGATGCGTTTCTAAATGGTTTTTAACTATTTCTAAGCATGAAAATTATACAGATTTTTATTAAAAATTTGATTTTAGGTCCGGAAGCGGATTTTTTTCGGCGAAGAATGACTAAAATTGGGCCGGGCAAAAATTATTATTTTTTGAAAATTCGCTTAGCTGACATTTTTATGGGTTGTAATTTCGATGAGTCGTAATTTCGATGAGTCGTAATTTCGATGAGTCGTAATTTCGATGAGTCGTAATTTCGATGAGTCGTAATTTCGATGAGTCGTGATTCGATGAGTCGTGATTTCGATGAGTCGTAATTTCGATGAGTCGTAATTTCGATGGGATGCAATTCGATGGGATGCAATTCGATGGGATGCAATTCGATCAGATGTAATTCGATGGGATGATAGCAAATCTAGCTTAGGCCTAGCTTAGGCTTGGCTTAGGCTTGGCTTATTTGGTTCGGCTTACGGTTATTTTTCACTAAATTCTAGCGTTCCGACGCTTCCTTTAATCTACCCAAAATTCTACCACTTTCTGGCCACCACTACTTTTCACTACCCATTAATCGCGGAATCCATTTCCGCGTGTTGCGCATTTTTTTGGGCCGGAATATTCTATTCGGCTCGGATAAGCAGGGTAGAGGATAAGCCGTTAGGGCGAAAACCCGTTAATCATCCGGGAGTGTGCCATTTCATCCAGACATCTGGCCCGGCTCCGGTCGGACTTCAGAATAATTACCAAGTTATTATATCCTTTCGGGTGATCAAAGATTGGGTAGTGTGCTTTGGAGGTGAATGGAACTATTTCTTGCGTAGAACAGAGATGAAATAACTTGCCAAAGATTTTTGAATATCACCATAATTTCCCAAAGATTTTTGAATTAAATCATAAACGAACGGAAACGAAAAAGAAATACCTTTGGTGTGTAAAATTTTTTCTATTTCGATAAGGACGTTTTTCTGATTTTCGAGGCCGTACGGCACTGCTAAGGTTCTTTAAAAATCGTTTCCACTTGCTCGAAAAACTGTAGGAGGTCACTGGGCTGCAAAAAGTCTTTTCTTCGTCTTGCCGAAGTTCAAAATCAGTATTTTTCGAGTCTAGCGGCGCACAGGAGCTTAAAAAGCATTTTTATTATCGGGTGGAAGTCGAAATAGCGTCCAAATACAGCTTCCAATCAATTCTCTTCCAACCACCAGACTGTAGGTGGCCAGGAGCGTCAAAGCGCTTTTTCATCGGTCCTCGGAAGTTCAAAGGTGTTGTTTCCGTGATATAGATACTAAAAAAAACTTTAAATTCATCTGTCTGCCGCCATGTAGGTGGTCACAACGGCTTCACGGTGTTTTTTACCAATTAAACAGAATTTTATACGTATGAATTCGAGAAATCTGGATTCAGATCCAGACATCGGTTTTGGCAGTTCTGACCTCCTGAAGTGGGATCTTGAAGGTGGACTCCACTTGAAGAAGTGGGAATAAGCACGCTGAATAAAAATTATTCGAAGCTCGGGTTTTTCATTTTTTACATATGTATGTCCTAGTAGTATCTTCAGTCAATATTTTTATGGGGCATCGAAATGTCAAAGCCTCAATTTTTTTTTCAGAAACTATGGAACTCCAGTTCACACAATTTCGAGCGGATCTGTACACGACGCTGCACTCGTTGAACGACGTGTTGTCTGTATTTTTCAATGGATTACTGCTATATTTGATCATCTTCCACACCAGCAAATCTTTTCGGTCCTACTCGGTGATATTGGGCAGGTAGAAATTTATTTTTTAGCGATTTAAAAATTAAAAGAAATGCATTTCTAAACCATTGAAATTTCGAACATTCAACTGATCTTTCCTAAATTTGAATAACTCGTAACGCTCTGTTTCAGTCTAACAATCTCCGAGTTCTTCCTTGGCTTGTCCGCTGGGTTGGCGATGACCAGGTGAGTAGGAGATTTTAAATGCACATAAAATCGATTTATTTTCTAGACCAATTGCCTTTGAAAATACCTTTCCTGGCACTCTTTAATTGCTTTTTTCAGGTGCATCCCGATCGGCTGGAGCCTGGCTTACCAATTTCACGGGTTGTGCCGCAAAATATCCCCTCAAATGTGCATGAATGGTACGGCTAAAAGTTTTTTCATCTTTGGCTAACACGCATTAATTAGTGTAAATAATTTACTGAAATTACATCTAAGTCAAATTTAGGGTTCAAGCCATTAAAAATTACGGAGTAAACTGTAAATAAATGAGAATCATTTTATAATTCATTAATGATGATTTTTTTTTTACCCTGCTTCAGTCCATTCCATCACAGCCGGATGCGCCTGCTACAATTATTCACTCCTATTTGTCTCTTTCTGGTATCGGCATCACGTCCTTGTTAAGAGCACGCCGAAAGCTTGGAAAATCGGTCTTTTATGCTTCATTTTCTTCATTCCCACGTTGATATCAATGGTAAGTCTGTTAAAGTAATTTTTATTATGTTCTTTACAATTAATTTTAAATTATATAAAATGCTTGAGATCTTGGTAAATTTTTCCTTAGATAACCTTCGCCTCTTCTACCAGCGATTCTAAAGTTACACGGGATATCCTTTATTCAAGAAGAAATATTTCTCTATACCCGGATGATCCGAAAATTGCAGCAATTATAGGATATGAAAGTATTTTCCAGAAAACGTAAGTTATTTAAAACTTTTCTCCTCTTGCTAAACAAAGCTTAAAATCCAGAGAGTATTTGCATTTTAGAGCGATTCTCCTGATAGCGTGGATCTTATTTCCGGTATTTCCGGGATACTGTATATCCATCTACTACCGCACTCAAATTCTGAAGATCTTGAATGAGAACGTGGCGATGAGCAACAGCACAAAGCGGGCGCAGCGGGATTTGATAAAGGTGAGGCAGAGAGAGGAATAGAGAGAGAGAGAGAGAGAGAGAGAGAGAGATAGAGGGAGATAGAGAGAGTGAGAGAGAAAGAGAGCGAGAGAAAGTGATAGATAGGGAGAGAGGGAGAGAGAGAGAGCGAGAGAGAGAGAGGGTAAAAGAAAAACAAAAACGTTTTTTAGGCCCTAACGATCCAAGCGATACTCCCAATCGTCATGATGAGCCAGTGCTCCATGTTCTTCTGGCGTCAATTTCAGCTACCGTAAGCTAATCGTTTAATTTGGCAACTAAAGCCGCTTTTTCAGCTACGGCGAAAAAGCGCCCTACTTTGAGGAAGCGCCATTTTTGCTGCTGGCCATGGTAGGGCTCGAATTTTCGTTAAAAATAAAATTCCGCGTAGCTAATTCGATGCTAGAAACTTGTATTAAATTTCGGGGATGCTAGCAACATTCTTTTTTTAAGCTAAATCTATCATGGGGCTGGCAATAGGAAGAATCGGCTATCGACACAGGTCAAATTCAAGTTTTAGGCTTTCTAAAAATTAAGGCCAGCTAGCAGGGTTTAAAGCGCACGTTCAGGGAGGGGCCGTGTACTCGTCCCAACGTGTACAACCTATGGACGTAGGGACCGCGTGCACTGCCTGCCCCCCTGCTGTGACAGGCCATTCCCCTCCTTTGCGGCGTGGGGCGCCCCTCGCCCCCTCGCCAGGTTGTAGCTATGGCTGACTGATATCCATCCGCGCCTCCCGAGCGGGGGGGCCCGGGTTCGAACCCCGGCCGCGGCAAAAGCCTTTGCTTTTTTCCAAAAAAAAAAAACGTCCCTGAACGTGCCCTTTAATGAAGGATTCCGCACATGCTATAATTTCCTTAAAATACCTGAAATGCAAGAATTCTGTGAATTCGCTTGTTTTAGGTCAGCGCCTGTAACCCCGTAATTACCATGTATTACGTACTACCGTACCGACGGCGTGTCGTGGAAATGATCGGTTTCTGGAGACGATCATCGGCCAAAGTGCAGCTCTACGACGTTAACAACCTGTCGAATACCAAAGATTCGATGGGAGAGGGAACTTTTCACATACAATCCATGTTTTGAGTTCAATACTATATGTTTCTTAATTCTATGTACGGTTGGTCTATAGAAATATCGGATTTGTCTTGTCAATAAAGTTACGGTTTCTTGGTTGGATCTTACAAAAATAAATCAAAAGGGGATATTTTTAAAAACGCAGTATTTAATTCTCGGATTTAACCGGAAAGTCTTCAAAAAAATTGGGCAATAATTGCTGTTTTTTCCGGCATGAGGGAAAGTCTATTACGTAGAAAAGGATTCATGGTCATTACTAAATTGGTTTCGAATACAAAACTCTGCATGTCTGGTCGCTACTAGTGATGGGGTTATTCAAATCAAATCCGGGATCAAATCTGAGGATTTGATTAAGCTTCCGTTTCTTATTCAAATCTTCAAATTTTTGCATGCAAAGCACGCAAAAAGGGCTTTTTTTCAGCGCAGAAGCATAAAAAAGGATACATTTTTACTCTTTGCATGCAAAAATTTGGAGATTTGAATAAGAAACGGAAGCTTAATCAAATCCTGAGATTTGACCCCGGATCTGATTTGAATAACCCCATCACTAGTCGCTACTACGTCGTAGATTTGCCATCAGAACTTATGATTCAATCGAAGCCAACTTTGACCTCTCTCTCTCTCACTCTCCCTCTCTCCCCCCCTCTCTCTCTCTCTCTCTCTCTCTCTCTCTCTTTCTCTCACGTTCCCAACCAATACGTTCTTTGCTCATTTCCCTAGAATCGTAAAGCCCGGTCTCACTTGGTACGCAAAATACGGCAACAGCCGCCACAGAGATCCGTTTTCTAGAGAACAGGGCTTCTGTGGCGCCATTCTAACACTTGTGAGAACCTGGTCGCAGAGTTCTTGGTTCCCGGTTTTACTCGGAAATTAAGATTCTGGGAGTTTTTCCAGAGCAGATAAAACTTTAGGGTCATTCAGGAATTCTTACTTTCAACACGTAGATTCTATCGTGGTCAGAAAATCTTGATCTTAATGCTCTATCGTCAATCTTAAGCCGATTTTTTGCTGTTTGCAAAAGCTATCAATTTTGCGCTCACGTCTTGAAAAGTGTTCTAATGATGCCGGTAAGTACTTTGTTTTCAGCAGAGTCTTTGTTAAAGTGTATTAATATGCTAATCAGCTGCCAATTTTTAGCACTGGAGCGATCTCCCATTCACCCAGTTCCGAGCCGACCTCTTCACTGCTCTACATTCCGTTAGTGATGTATTCTCCGTGATTTTCAATGGAACTCTACTATACCTAATTATTTTCCATACCAGCAAATCATTCCGATCGTACTCTGTGATTTTGGGAAGGTGAGGAAATTTGCATAAAGGGATTTATGGTTATAAATTTGAGGACCAAAAACTATAAAATTCAGATTTAAAAAAATTTAAATACGGTTTTTCAGTCTAGCGCTTTCTGAATTTCTACTCGGCTGGAGCGCCGGTGTCGCGATGACCAGGTAATTATTATTTCAGCGTATTTACCGCATTCGTATACGGCTTTTTAATCGTGTTTTGGCGTTTTTATGCTACTAAACTCGTCTAAAAACATTACACTTTAGATGCATCCCAATCGGCTGGGGATTGGCTTATCAATTCCATGGGGTGTGCCGCAAGATATCACCTCAATTTTGTATGAATGGTATGTTTTAGAAAAGGCTGTAAAAATTAGGTGGTTTAGTGCACGCCATCACAGCCGGAAGTGCCAGCTACAACTATTCGCTGCTGTTTGTCTCATTTTGGTATACTTTTTTAGACTTTTATTTTGTTAATTAACGATAAAGTATATTAAACTTTCTGATTTTTATGTAAATTTTATATAAAGCTTTTGGGCCATATAAAAACCTGAAAAGTTTTTAGGTATCGTCATTATGTCCTCACAAAGCACACTCCGAAGGCCTGGTGGATCGGTCTGCTGTGTTGCGTGTTTTACATTCCTTCTTTAGCATCGGTGGTAAGCTTTTATTTGGGTTTTAAAGGGGCAAGTAAGTACAGAAATCAGCCCCTTCAGAGGACTAGGTTTCGACAGGCACAAAACGCCTCTTAAAAAGGGTTTTCCAAAGTAGGTCTCGGAGGCTACGTAATGCTCTTAAAAACTTGCCCTAGTTTTTGAAGCGAAGGGAATATGTATTTTTGTCGAGACCTAACCGGGATATCCTCGGCGTCCCAGCACCTTTAAAGTTCGAAATTTTTTACTCAGATCACTTTTGCGGCTTCGACCAGCACCACTGATGCCACCCGGGAACTCTTGGTAGCTGGCAGAAATATTTCGCTATTCCCCGATGATCCAAATATCGCAGCCATGCTCGGCTACGAGAGTATTTTCCAGGGAACGTATGTATTTTACGCTCTCCATAAGGCTTTTTCTAATTTTAGCACGATGGTCCTGATTGTTTGGATCTTGTTTCCGGTTTTTCCGGGATATTGTCTATCGATTTATTATCGCACCAAAATTATGCATATTCTTAATGATAACACGTCGGCGATGAGCAATAGTACGAAGCGGGCGCAGCACGATTTGATCAAGGTGGGAGAGAGCTAGAGAAATAGAAAGAGAGGGCGAGAGAGAGAGAGAGAGAGACAGCGAGAGAAACAGAGAGCTCAAAAACTATTTTCAGGCCCTAACTATACAAGCAGTACTTCCGGTAGTCATGATGAGCCAATGCTCGGTGTATTTCTGGCGTCAATTCCAGCTACCGTAAGCTAAAAAAAACACGAAAAAATATCGATTTGTTTTAGGTTTGGCGACAAAGCACCGTACTTCGAGGAGGCTCCATTTTTACTGCTGGCTATGGTGCGTCTGAAACGGCTTTAAAAACTTAAAAATCGGCTTGATGTCAGCAATTTTTTTCTAGGTCAGCGCCTTCAGCCCAGCAATCACTATCTACTACCTGCTACCGTATCGCAAGCGCGTGGTCGAGATCGTCATTTTCTGGAAGAAATTTGCCCGTACGAGGATCTACGACCATTCGACGCACTCGACAACAAAGAGAAGCACAGCAACGGCACCATCCTACTATCCTACTATATATAAAAAAATAGTGTCTGTGTGTGTGTGTGTATATTTGCATGCACTTCCGTTAGGATGTTCCGCTCCTACAGCCTCGAGGAAGGGTTTTTTGGATAGGGAAGACACGATAATAGGTTCGGAATGGTCCGGAATCGACTGCACACACATAAAAATTTTGAAAAATTGTGGTTTTCGCTATTAAAAATAGGTTTTTGTAAAACCCTGTTTGTTAGGGGAAATTAGCATACGCCGGAAGTAGGAAGAGCCTATATAAAGGGACAGGGGAGCCGTTTTCACTTTTTTCTTGCTAGAATTCAAGGAAGAAACATGCAAATTAAGGACTTTCACAGGTCCTGGACGGGGCCAGGGTTGAAAAGCCGCGAAGCGGTTTTTCAACCCTGGTTCATATTAATTCCATGTTTTAAGGAGTCCAGTAATTTGAATAAACCCGCAGGCTTACTGTATTATGGTATCGATTAATTTAAAATACAAATAGATACTCCGTTTACATTACTGATCGAAATCCTTATTTCGTAGTGATTGAGAAGCCATATTTCACGGAACGAAACTTGTTTTAGCCACCGTTCTTCCTCGTAGTTCCTGATTTTCGTGTGGTTGTGAGCAAGGGAACAGCCGGATTTTCAAGGCAGTCTGGAAATTCCGGGTTCACGTCAATTTTCCGGAAGCTTGCGGTTAGGCACCGACAGTTGCGGGAGACCACGGGGAGGCCCAAAACCGTCCGGGACACGTGAATTCACAAGCTTTGTGAGAAGCCATTGGGCTCGTTTCTGGCCTACTGTAGCCGCGGCCCACCGGGCCCAAAGATCAGGCAGTTGTTCGTACTAGACATAAGGCCTGGGAATCCGTTGGGTGCTAATGAACTCGAAAACTTCTGAGAAATTTACACTTCCGGAAGGCACCAGGGCCCAAAAAGCTCAAAAAATTCCGGAACTAGGGAGAAGAAGTGAGATGCAGAAGTTTGTGAAAGTTCGAAATTCGAGCCCGCCGGCTGGTTCCGGGGAAATGAAAATGCTATTTGAAAACTGAATAAAAAACCCTTTGTTAAGTGCAGCAAATTCAGTTTTGAAATCATATCAATAGAAATACCGAGTTATGCTTTACACGTCCTTTAAATCGAGTACTAGAGCTGAACAAAATCTCAAATTCAAGCATTATATTGCCACGCAATACCTTGAAACCCAAGCATCTCAGACGTTGCCTCCCAAAGCTCTTGTCTAGGCTATTTTCGTCCACGACCGCTCAAAAATCGTGGTTACGGTACCTTTCCTCGACTTCCTAGGGTCAGGCGTGCGGCAAACGATTTGTCGCCGACACCAGTTAGTGCCAGATGTTGCGGCTAGCAATATCGCGCCAAAAAGCCGCGCCGCGATACCCACTTTACATAAACATTCCCACATCCGACACATCGCCATTAATCAAAGCGGACCGGTAGTCGACTGGCCCGATTGACCCCGGCCGTCATAAGGCAAATCGAGGAATTTGCCACATGTTTTTTTTGGCCCAGCTTTGACTCCAATGATCTCCGCCCGCATTCCCTTTGACAGACCCAGATTTGCCCATGTTTTTAGACTTGGGTCACTCGTCCCAAATGGTCTCTGCCGGCATGCCCTTTGAGACCCTCAGATTTGCATAAACAAACTCATTACGAACCGACTAACGCCAAAAATACCCAGCCAGATGTTGTTTTTTGCGTTTATCGTAGAGAAAATCTCGGTTAGACTGTTTTTATTGGCTATCCGACTTGGATCAACATAGATGACTCATCTCTACAAATCTGGGAAATCAGCGGCTCTTTGGCTTTTTCCCATCCAGTCGAATCGGGCGTCTATAAAAAGCGGAAAAAAATTTATTTACCAAATTTCCAAAGGTTCGAAACGCGTACTTTAGTATGTTAGTTTTGGTCTTGAAGACTTCAATCAACTTCTTCTTCAAAAATCTCGAATTTATTTTCTTCGAGACATTCGCCACATAAGGCAGTATTACTGGCTTCGTCCATTCGCCAAATGGTCTTCGCTAGGATCTACAATCATCGATTTTCCAGTCAATTGCCGCGTTCCTGAAAGGATTCTGCGACCTTGCACTGCGGTGGGATTTACTTTAGCAGAATTCGCGAGCTCTCAAAGTTTTCTTCTGCGTCTCTGCTAGCACGCCCCGCTGCTTCAAGCCTGAATGACCACATTGCCCTTCTTCCACAATGATCTCTGCTGGTATGCCTAACCTTTGTTCCTTGTTAAAGTCCTTACGCCTTATTTTCATAAATTTCTCCAATTTTCTCTGCTAGCTTGCTTCGGGGCTTTCCTGCAGCTGACTTGCCAAGCCGGGTTCCTTTTGCCACCGGGCGGAGTAAAATTTTCGAAAACCTTACGAAAATTAGATAGCAAGATGGATAGCGAGAGATATTGAGGTACAGAGCGAGAGAGAGAGTGAGAGAGAGAGAAAGAGAGAGAGAGAGAGAGATAGTCAAAGGAGAAAGCGAGAGCGAGAGAGAGAAGGAAAGAGATAGCCAAAGGAGAGAGAAAGAGAGAGAACGAGAGAGATAGTCAAAGGAGAGAGAGAGAGAGAGAGAGAGAGAGAGAGAGAAAGAGAGCGAATGAGAGGGGGCAGCCAGGGGGCGTATCTACTAAAACTTTCGGTTACGGTAGCGCGCCACATGTTGCCACCACCCGGGTGCCTGCCCGGCCCCCCAGTCAGTCCCCAAAGTTTATCCGCCAAAACTTGAACATTTTCTCTAATGTCCGGATACAATAATTACTATATGTACATTGAGTTAACTTTCGAACATTGTAAGTATTTTCGAAAACACTGCTAGCTAGCGAAAAGCTTGAACGTTTAGAAGATTACTTTACTTTCCAATTTACAGTCATAGTCAAATTTTTGGAATCAGTCCTCTTATTTTCGAGTTTAAAGCTGTTGATGCTTCTGCTTAAAGTCCACGATGGTCTTCTTTTTTCAGGATGGTTCGTCCTACCATGAGTGAGCTCGAGCTCAACGTGCTGCCCGCGCCCCCGGAGCGCAGCATCAGCAAGCGAACCCTTGCTAGGCGCATCATTCACGGTAAGTCGATCACTCTCTCTCTTTCTCTCTCTCTCGCTCTCTCTCTCTCTCTCTCTCTCTCTCTCTCTCTCTCTCTCTCTCTCTCTCTCTCTCTCTCTCTCTTTCTCTCCCTCTCTCTCTCTTTCTCTCCCTCTCTCACTCTCTCGCTCTTCCTCTCTCTCGCTCTCTCTCACTCGCTCTCTCTCTATCTCTCTCTCTTTCTCTCGCAACCCGCTTGCTTTTCCATAAAGGGATCATCAAACCAAATTTATAACTCATTTTCAGAAATTGGCCACGACATTGCCGTCAACTGGACACGCTACTACCTCATCTATGTCTGCCTCGTGGCCGCTAGCATCGTGAGTTTCAAGAGGTTCTGTCTGTATCTTTATGCAAGAGACGGAAAGCGAGAGAGAGAGAGAGAGAGAGAGAGAGAGTGCGAGAGAAAAATCTGTAAGCTACCCGGCGACCTTGATCCAAAATTTAGTTGACCGCCTCCGAAACCCATCACTCGGCTCACCATCTGGCGATCACCAACGACTTGGTGACGGAAGGCTGGCTGAAGACGCTGATCACGATCGGCGACTGCATTGCCCTTGTCTGCCACTACATCCGCTTCCTCCTCCCCGCCTTCCTCGTCGCCGTCCGCTGCAGCGCCGATTTTCAGTCCCCGCAGGTTGGTAGATGAACAACTGGCCACTTTCTTGCTATCTCTCTCTGTCTCTCTCACTCCTTTTCTCTCTCCATCTAGCTATCGCTTTAGCGCTCCCTCTCGATGTCTGGTTCTTACTCGGTCCAGCTTTAGCTCGCGGTCTCTATTGCTCTCTAAATCTCACTGTCTCTCGCTTTTTCTCTCTCTCGCTCTCTTTCTGTCTCTCCCTCGCTCTCTTTCTCTCGCTCTCTCACTCTCTCTCGCTGTCTCTCGCTCCCTTTGTCTCTCTCCCCATCTAGCTATCGCTTTAGCTCTCCCTCTCGCCGTCTGTCTCTCACTCGGTACAGCTTTAGCTCGCGGTCTCCCTTACTCTCTATCTCTCACTGTCTCTCTCCCTCTCTCTCCCTCTCTCTCTCTTTCTCTCGCTGCCTCTCGCTTTCTCTATTTCTCTCTTTTCAACAATCCGCACTTCAGTGCACCCGCATCGCCTTCATCGTCTTCAGCTGTGCCCTCTTCTTCGGCCCGAACGTCACCAACTCGCAGCTCCACATCCCCGGCCTCGAGGGTCTCATCGGCCAGCACCACCTCCTCACCGGAATGCTCGGCTACTTCTTCGTGTCCTGTTTCACCGCGTTCTTGGACAAGTTCTCCCCGTCCCCCTCCATCATGCCGGCCTGGCTGATGCAGTTCTTGTACATCATCTTCTCTTTCGTCATGGTTGACCTCATCCCCTACATCTTCTTCACCCTCATGATGATGTGGTTCCCGCAGATGTTCTTGTACTATTGGTTCCCGATCATCTTTGCCATGGACATTGTCATTTTGGGGGTTATCGTCAAGTTCTCGGAGGATTTCTATGGGGCCATCACGCAGAAGTTTGAGAACTTTCTGTAGATCATCAGCCTCCGAAAAATCTTAATTGAGAAACTTGCTGGAAAATTGAGGGTTACGGTACTGTAGAAAATTAAAATTTTTTCCAGGGGTTTTACGAGCCCAGTTATGAATTAGAAAGGCCTCAAATTTGGCAGTAAAAATCGTTTTTGAGTACCTGTAGTGAACTGTACCGTACTCTATTAACCGGCCATAATTTTGGAAAATTGATTAAAAACTGCGCTTGTGTCCGTGGCGTAATTTGTACAGTACCGTAACCCTCAATTTTCACTACCCAAAAACTCGTCTTAACCCCTTAAATCCCGTATTTTTCCATATCTTCACCCTTCCGGTCACCAATCGAATGGTTTTTGCCTAGCCGCCTCGAATCCAAGCCCACCCCAAATGTTTTCAATCCTAAATTTCAACTCATCTTACCAACTGCAAACTACAGGTTGGGTTGGGCTTGGATTTAGACAAGGCTAGGAGCAATAAAACCCCGCTTTTGTTATGTTTTATTTTTCAGGCCGATTCGAATTTCAGATTTTTCACGCCCATCTGAAAAAATGCCTTTTTCCGCTTTCCTTAATTTTGCCTTAAATTGGCATAATTACTGCCAGTCTTGCTGTTTTAAATCATCCCGCCGACCTGCTGTAATTCAAGCCCACCCCAAAATCGTTCAATCCCAAATTCCTCAAAATACAACAACGAGTTGGGATGGGCTTGGATTTAAGCAGCGTCTGATCAGTCTTTTTTCTTTTTTTTCGTCTTTGCATAGCATTTTTCTAAAGTTTTTGTAAAATAAATGTTTGTAAGCCACTAACGATTTCTCAATACGCACTAGAAAAGGTTCAAACAAGTAAGAGGCGCACTTACTTAAAAAATGTTTATCCTTCTGAACTACCCACTACCACAGATCGAAAAGAATATAAGGAAATTGACTGAATAATCACAAAGAAGCGTGCACGGGTTGCTTCAAGCAGTAGCCGTCGAGCGGAGACAAGAAAACAGGGATTTGAGTCCCGACTTTTGCTTGGTGGATCGAAGCTGTTGGAGCTTTTGAGCTTTTCGGCAGTCGAGGAGATGGTCGTCGATTTGCTAAAAGAGAAGAATTATGCAAATCATATAGCAATTTTCTCTCCTTCTCTCTATAGCTCTCTCGTTCTCTCTCAGTCTCTCGCTCTCTTTCTCTCTCTAATTCTCTCTCTCTCTCTCTCTTTCACTCTCTCTCACTCTCTCTCTCAATCTCTCACTGTCTCTATGTCTCTCTGTCGCTCATTCTCTCGCCCTCTCTCAGTAGCTCATTCTCTCTCTCCCTCATCCTCACTCACCTGCAATCTCTCGTCCGCCAAATTCCTTTGCGTCTCATCCAGAAAGCTATCCGATGCTCGTGCTCTTGCTGCTTCGATCATACAGACGGTTACGGTACTCTGAAATCAGAATTTAATTGTAGCGCCAATTTTGAGCTTTTAAAGGGACGGCGACACCCCGGTCCACTAGGTTTGAATAGCGTTAAAATACGTTCTGTTGCAAGATGTCGAAGTTCTCCGCCCGAAAGGCGTGTTTTGTCTTTCCGCGTAGCTGCTTAGACCTAGCCTCCCCGAGGGGTGCATTTAAGGCTTACCAGCCCCTTTAAAATAAAAAACACTAACCTGATCACAAACGTCCGCAAACAAATGGCAAAGATATGCCAAGTCGTCGATGACATCAATGCGTTCCGGGTGAGAGGCCGGGAATTTCTAAATTTTCTGGGAATCTTCGACCTTTGCCGATAAACTACCTTTGACGCCACCTTCAGGAGCTCGTTGTAGCAGAACTGGACGCTCTTCCAGATCTGGGAGCGGCTGATTTTCTTTGTCTCCGTGCCGAACTCGTTCTTCTTCCGGCTGAGGACGTGCAACTGATAGAAGGCGTTCAGGAAGAAGTCCTTGAACATCTCCAGGGCGGGGAGGTCGCGGTCTCTGGAAAATAAATGATAATTCAGAGAAAGAGCGAGAGAGAAAGAGAGTGAGAGAGAGCAAAAAAAAAAGAGAGAGAGAGGGAGAGAGAGAGAGAGAATTACTGTAGCTACTCACTCGTAAAGGAACTGAACGATCAATTTCGCGGCGTTCAGATACAGCTGCTTCCGTTGTTCTACCGTATCCTTTGGGGTGAAGCGCATCAGGATCTAAAAAATCTGTGTTTTGACAATGATTCAGGTTTTTGGGGGAGAGAGAGTCAGAGAGAGGGGGCGAGAGAGACGGGGAGAGTAGTTCTTTACCTCAGCCAACTGCGCCGATTTCTCATTTTGAGGCAGTACGGAAACGATGGCGTGCAGGGCTTCTCTAGCCAGAGAATCGTCCCCACGCACGGTCAGCCTTTGCTGGCGGATTCGGGAGGTGGTGGTGGCTGTGGAGCAGAAGGAGGAGGAGAAGCCTGGAAAATTCACTTAGAAATTTTTCTATTCCATTAATTAATGCGCGAAACCAGTCGTATTAATCAATTTATTAGCATATTTTTATTATGAAACACTCACGATCACAAGCCTTCGTCGCGTGCATCGGGCTGTCATGATTCTGGGGAATGATGACCGCTTTTTCCAGCCTCGCACTGAGCTGGGAGACTTTGGTGTAGTGGGAGTACTGTGCTTCTCTTAAAGAATCGATAAATGAATTTTTTTTGTCTTTTATTTTCCTACCGTATGCACTTGAGAAGCGTCGTGGGGAGAAGTCGCTTGGCCTCGAGCTTTCGGATTGTGGCATCGAGTTGGGCGAGGGCTTCGTTCATGCAATTCTGAAAAGCAGGGAGTAGTCAGCGAGAGAGAGAGAGAGAGAGAGAGAGAGAGAGAGAGAGAAAGAGCGAGAGAGACTCTTACTTGTTTCGCAGCAACAAGTTGAGGAGAATCAATTGGAGCACCAGCCGATCGCAGCTCAGAAAGCCTCCGATCAAATCTTTCTCCGGCATCGACGGTCTTGCTCCGGATTTCTCGGACCTCATCGAGCACCTAATATACGCATTTACGTCTGCATACATGTCTTGCTGAGTTATATAACTAATGGATCATGCGCAAGCTTACCTGCTGCTTGATGGAGCACATTTGCTGCACCGAGAAGAGGTGATGACCGTTGTGTAAATTCACACAACATTCCAGGCATGAGAAGTTCTGAAAAAAATGTTATTCTTTATGTTAAGTTTGAATTTTGTTAAAGTTAAATGTTATGTTAAGGAAAGCAAATATTTGGCATATTATAAGGCAACCTACCACGCTTGCCGACGTCGAGCACTCCTCGCAGTATCGTGCCAGTTTCTCCAGGTTTTTTGCGGTAACTTTTCGCTTGCAGTCTTGACACCTAAGATGACATTTGGATAACGTAATCCTGACCATTTGCATACCTTTTCACAGCCACTTTTTCCCTCTTCGAGCCACCAGCCAGTCGTTTCACGTCTGGGGCGAGGAATTGGATCTGGAAAATGATATCTATTTTTTTCACTTTTAAGTGGAATTCATAAGGTTTTTCGATCCCCTATGGAAGCTAAAATTTGTGGTTTTTGGGATGCAAATCATAAAATTTCTTTCAGAATTTTTTCGTTTTTTTTACGATGTTTTTTCGGCTTTTAATTGGCGTTTTTGTGGGCTGTAATTTGGCTATCTATGGGATTTACTAATGCTTTGAAATATACAAGTTAGTCGAATCATATTCAATTCCTCACCTCCTCCCGATGCCGCCTTTCCCGATCCAAATCCGTGCTCTTCCACTTCTTTTTCTTCTTGTCACTTTTTGAGCTCTTTGGTGTCTTCGGCTCCTCCGTACCGCTGACGTGGATTACGGTAATGTTGTTCACCTCCCGGCCTTTCTTCACGCTTTCCAGAATTTCTAAAAATTGCAAATTTTTGGCGGTTTTTCCGGATAATCTGTGTTTCCGGAGCTCTAAGACGCACTGCAAAGATCGTAGTTTGTAGGCGCATTCTTCGCCGTTGTTGTCGAGAATTGCCGTCGACATGTCGGACATTTGATGGAGTCGAGCAGGTAGTACTGTAAATTGTTACTATCTTTTTTCTGACTAAACATTGATTTCTAGCCGATAATTAGATTTTATTTGAATTTCGTATTTTCAATTTTTAAAAATTTTAGCGGCTTTTAGAGGGGTTTGGATTTGATTGTTAGATTCTTGGCTTCAGAATCTCTTTAGCAACACCCAGGGGACCAATAAAAACATCAAATTAGCGCCAGCTCCCCAGGCTACCCATAAAATTCCGATTATGCAAATTAGGGTGTAACCAAATTTGGGCGTCGGAAAGCAACAGACAGCCTTAATTCGAAGGCTTTTGTCTCGACGCCTTTAAAAAGACCGTTAAAACCCTGGAAAGAATCAAAGAAAATATTCTTAATTAATTTCCTATGAACAAAACCATTTGTTTTCTTGTTTCTGCAAATTTTCTTTACCTCTTGATGACAGCAAATACTAAAGAGACACTGCGAGCAAAAGTTGTGGCCGCAGGGCAGGATTTTCGGGGGTCGTTGGATGGGCTGGAAGGCTTCGAAGCACACCTGAAAAACGGGGATGAGCATGAGCTAGAAAACTCCGGCTAGAATCGCATGGAACTCAAGGCACACTTCACTTACCTCACAAGATACAGTTTCGTCTCCCTCAAACAGAAAGGAGACGAGGCGCCCCGGGGAGCCCTGATCGAAGGCGACCGGGGGCATAGTCGCTGAAAAAGCCAGATTGTAATTTGGTTTTTGTATATTTGGAGCAAAAAAACATGGAGAAAAACTTGAAAAGGATGAAATTATAAGATTTCTATTTTTAAATAGCTTTACAAGTTTTTATTAAAAAATACCAGGATATCGATTTCTCGGCCAAAAATTAGACTTTTTTAGAAATATTTTTCAAATTTTTAGATAGTATTTAGTAGAAATCTGGTTATATATTATTAAAAACACCATTAAAATGCTTCCTATTAAGGTACCACATTTTAAGACTTACACAAAAATCCCCCCGATAATGCAAAAGAGCGTAAAACGGTGCGGTGGCAATTCTAGTCTCGCCCATTCAGCAGAACCCTAATCGGTGGTGAAACTGAATTCACCTCAACAAGGTTTGGAATTAGCCAGTGAAACTAACGAACCGTGACAAACAAGTGCATACCGTTCATGGGTTCCGAACGGAACTCGGGGCGCCCATTTTATGACCCCCGAGTCAAACTTGGAACACCTGGGACTCGAAATGGGGTAGTTAGCAAAAGGGGCAGGAGACTACTCTTGACAGACGGGGGGGGTGACTCTCCCTACTAAAGTCGTCAACCAACTTATCGGGAATCGCATCGACAGTGTCATCCGGTGCGGCTGTAAGGAGTCTAGTGGAGGTTTTGAACCATTTAAGGGCATGGTAAGGGGTGTAATTTGGCGTATTACGTAAGGCCAGTCTCGAATAAAGAAAAACACTTAATTTCATTATTTTTTTGAAAGAATTCGAATAGAGAAAAATTGCACAAATTTTTGAACGTCTGAAGGCATGATTAGGGGTGTAATTTGGAGTATATGGAATCCAATATCGAAGCGCTGTAGCGGAACCTTGTGGACTTTTTTAAAGCACACGGTAAAAATGTGTAATTAGGGCAAATCACGAGGTATTTTGGTAGCAACTATACAAAGAATTCTAGCAAATGATTGTGGGCATTTTGGCATACAAAAAGCGCCAAAGCCCCCCGCTCACTTGGGCAATAAAGGGGGGGGGGTAACTTGGGGGCTACCGTCCCATTCCTTGTCGGCTTATTTTTTACCATAGTGCTCAATAGGCGTGTGGGGAGCATGAGTTCTTGGAGCTCAATCCACCCCCTTTCAAGCCCTTCCCCTCTTTCTGTTTCTCGCTAATGGGCCATGAGTCAAAAGGATGCGGCCGGAAATCCTCATCCTCCCCCCACCCGACCACAACTTTTATGAGCCCGACTCCAAATTGTGGGTTGCTCCCCCTGGGCGTGCGGGTATTCAAATTGTGGCTACCGTAAGCTTAGCATGATCATGGGGCTCCACCTTAGCATGAGCTTGAGTTGTTGGCAATTGCGTAGTAAAATGTTTCATGCAGTTCAAAATTTGCATACAAAATTTGGTCGTGAAGCTGATTTTTTCCCCTATAGACCCAAAGGACCCTAGTAATCAAATCGTATGTATTTTAAGAAATTTTTTGGTAAAATCTTACTATATTGCAATCCAAAAAAGCGTATAAAAACTTTCAGAATGTTTAAAAATTCGAAACTTTGTTTGAAAATTGGCGCTTTCTATCGAAAAATTTAGATTTTTACGCATTTTCAAAAACATAGGCAAGGAGCAGTAAAAACGCCTAGAAACACTTGACCTAATATTGGACAATTAAATGCAAAAAGAATGTTGAAATTGCAATATTTTGTTCTATGTCGGGCGGGGAGCAAAGGGACTTTTCTCCACCCCCCGATATTGGAAAAGAGCCCCAATTTCATCTCTATTTAATGCAAATTTACCTTATTCTTGTCGTTTTGAGCCGATTAATGCAATAGGGAATATGGTGGGGCGAAGTCGCTTGGGTTGATTACGGTAGCTTCGGGATTTCAGTTGTTTTACAGCGCCTCGAATAGAAACTAGGAAAGATGAGCTCGGGATTTTATAGCTATGGATTTTCCTAGCACCATTGACTAGTGATAATAAATCATAGAAGTCCATTTGAAGTCCCCGGCCCCCGATTTCCGAATTGTACCCCCGGGGTAAGAGGTGTCAATTGGTCGTTTGATAGGCAGATGGCCGGGCGCGCACTTCCCGGTCAGAGAGGGGGGAGAGAATCGACCATAAACGGATGCGGGACTTTTGCTTTGTTGTCACCGCAAGGCTATCGAAAATTATAAATTTAGACGAAAGAGAATACAAAGACGGAAGAAAGTGATAGCGCAAAGCATCAATGAAAAATGTATGTTTTGCGTAGAGATGTTAAGAATCAATTAACAATCAAGATTATTTGCATACAATGGCACAATATTATTTTATTTGGATGGGGCTGAGCGCATGACCAAGTAAAATAATATTATTTGACTCCGCTCGAGAAAGAACCAAGTAAGATTACTTGATTTACTTGATTTACTTGATCAAACTATAGCTTCTTGGAATTCTGGCATTTTTCGGATGGTAATGAACTTTATGACATGATCGAATGCTAATTTACTGGGTCCGCGGCACGATTGCCTGATTTGCATTGCGAATTTGCACAAAATCAAGTAATTTCGCTGAAAATCAAGTAATTCTCCCAAATCAATCAAGATCAAGTAAATCAATTAATTTTATTTTACTTGATGCTTATTCAAGCAAACGGCGTAAAATAATTTTATAGTTACTTGAAAATTTCAGATGCAAATAAAGTTGTTCAAGTAAATTTACTTGGTCATTATATTACTTGATTCGTAACATCTCTAGTTTTGCGTTCTGGAGCTTCAACCGCTTATCAAATTTAAGTATCTCGCTTCGAAAAGAAAGCTTCTTAAAAAGCCGAGGAAATTAGAGTGTAATTGCATTAATGGCAAAAACGGCGATTCGAGACAGAACAGAGTAAAATTTGTTTGGTCTTCTGTGCAAAATTCTAATATTTTAATGTATGATTTTGCGGTGATTATCTATATTCTAACTTTAACAAAAATTTAAACAAACTAGAAACCCTAAAACATTTATAAAATCAATAAAACACTTTCTAATTTTGCTTTTTGGCGGTGCATTGACCCTTCATTTTATTCGAGCAAAAAATGTTTAAAATCTATCCAACACCCATTTCAAGGTTGCTGGATTATCAGCTAAAATTACATCCCGAAGAATAGGGATGTAGATAAATCTAAATTTTCACCTTACTAATTCCCTAAATTTCCTGCAAAAGCCAGATCTGTTACTGTAAGCGTCACTTCTCGCTAATCTCTAAGGTTTTTGGCACAAGTATTGCCGCTTCAGCCCTTTAAAGGCAATGGGTCACCGTATGTTTTAATCAAAAAAACACGGTAGAAGAATGGGAAAATTGCTCGAAAAAAGCTTACCTCTCCTTAAACCCCGGCAGAATCGAAACCAAACAACATGACTATAAACAAAAACGTGGAAAAGAGAAAGGAGCAAAAATAAAAATAAAAATAAAACTCTGAGTGGATCTCAAAAACACGACCATTTCCGCCATGACCTAACGCCCCTCCTCCGGTCCTTGAGAACAATATGCATGGCTACGTTCGGTGTATTCAAATGTACAAGAGAAAAAAAGAAGAGGAAAGAAAAGACAGATGGGAATGCGTATTGTAGGGGTTGGGGATGAAGTGGGCAGCTCTAAATAGTTGTAGCTAACCAGAGACTGGGAGAGCAATAGGTTGGGGTGGGGGAGGTGCTGCCTGTTGCGTGCAGCCCCTTGAGGATACGGTAAGTGGGCCGGGGAGGGGAGGGGCGGATGGGTATTTCTAGGCTGGGTAAGGCCCTTGGCCACGCCCAGGATTTGAGGATGTTTTGGGTAACCGTTTAAAGGTGTGTTTGGAAAAGGAAGAGAAAGAGGAATGGAGAGAGAGAAGGCGCGATAGAGAGAGCGAAAGAGCGAGAGAGCGAGAGAGAGAATGAGGGCGAGCTAGAGAGAGCGAGCTAGAGTGGGAGATAGGGTGGAAGAGCGAAAGAGCGTGAAATTTCTAATATTTTTTGAAGGCGCAGGATGCTTCTAGCAAACTCTCCCTCTCTCTCTCGCTCTCTCTCTCTCCCTCCCTCCCTCTCTCTCATTCTATCCCACTCCCTCCCTCCCTCCCTCCCTCCCTCCCTCTCCCTCTCCCTCTCTCTCTCTCTCTCTCTCTCTCTCTCTCTCTCTCTCTCTCTCTCTTTCGCTCTCTCTCTCTCTAGCTCTCAGTCTCTATCCCTGTTTCTCTTTCTCGAATTAGCGTATCGAGTCGCCTTTTAAAGGTGGTGTGACAGTTGTGAAAAATGTAGCTCAAAAAGATAAAGAAAAGTTAGAGAACATACAACGTGACCATTTTTTTTGATTTATTTAAATTAATAGATTTTGTGGCTTGCCTTTACAGCAGAGATCATCTCTGATCCTAGGATTTTTCGTGAATCTTCTATATTTTTGCAAATCGTTCGATGCCGAGTATATTTCAAGTTCCAGGCCAGTTCCCGCAGCGTTTAGTGACCCCGTCCTTTGAAACCGCGAACATTTAGCGCATATTGTGTTCGAGTATCCAGAGATACTAGAAAGAAAGGTAGAGGTGGGGCTGGCTCGGAACGTGTGAACATGCCTGTGAAACTAGGCCAAGGCATATGGGACAGCTGGTACCAGGCGAGAGATCCTCTTTTTTTCGGCTACTCACATCGGCTACCCAGTAATCCTGTAACCACCACAAAAAACCTGGCAGCCCCATTCATGAGCCGATGTTTTATGGGGTCGATGAGTTTTCAGGGAGCGAGGAAAGAGTCTGGAAAGAAATTCCGGGCTACTCGAGTCGAAAATTGGGATACGGTAGGGGATTTCTATAAAAAAGGCTTAATAGAAGACCAATCCGCGATGCCGTGCTAGTTTTTATCGAGAATCACGAAATCCGCGAGTATTGCTACACTTACAAAAAAATAAGGATGAAAATAGAGAAATAAAAGTTACACGAAAATACATAAGCTGTGTTTTTGCCCTTGAAGCCTAGAAAGTTGAGACTGATAGCTTCCGGAACGGTATAACGCATAGT